TCTATCTTTTTTGTTCCTCAAATATAACCATTGCAAGTTTTTAAAGTGACACCCTGTATATATACAAATGCCTTTAAAATTCAATACATAAGTAGTTTAATTGTTTAAGCTCAGTCACTTAAAATATATTCTACATCAAACAAAATTGAAAATAAAGCTTTTATTGACACAGCTATTACAAAATAGTAAAATCATTAAACTAAAACTAAAACATATAAAAAATACTGCGAACTTTGGCTTCGCAAAAATGGCAAAATTCAGAAATAAAAACTTAAATTCTAAAGTAGTTTTTCTTGAAAAAACACACTAATCACAATTATTTAAGTTATAGTTTAAAAAAACTAGTCGAGATATTTCATCGGTTTTAAAAACCTCCCGTCTTTCACTAAGTATCTGCCCTGCCTGCGAAAATATTCTCTCGCACGGGACAGATGTAGCCATTATGCATAGTCGAGTTTTCATAATTTGGTACAGTTTTGGGTATATGTGCTTTCTTTGATTCCACCAGACAAAAGGATCGTGACACACTCCAGAGGAATCTTTTCTAGGTAAAATACTTTCCTCTAAATATTTATTTACTTCTTCAACGGCAGATATTGTGGAATTGCTCGGCTTTAAGTGATGCCGAATTTCCGCATCAAAGTCATTCCATAAACCATCAATAAAATTGTTTCCTTGTGCAATGTTTTGGTCGATTGGTTCGCTTTTAATATTAATATCAGAACTTTGATTTTGTAAACTTGCATCAACCAGTGTAGTGTTAGCGACTTCTGTATATAAGTTTTCTACTGCTCGTTTGTAATCTTCCTCGTCGATAAATCCAAACTTTTTAAACCTGGGGTCTAAAATAGTTGCTTGAGCTATCAAATGGTTTTCTTGTATGTCTTTAAAGCGGCTCTTCAGTTCAAATTTCAGTTTTTCGACCATATTTTTAATTTGGGGCATAACTGCATTTAAATTCATGGAATTTAAATGTTTACTAATCTTTTTATAGTAAAATATGATAGTAGAAGTATTAAGTTTTTGCTCTGAGCTGATGGCGAGTGTTATCAAATTGAAAATTTCCAGTACTTTTATTGCTTGTTCTGCTACAACCCATTCTTCATCATGAAGTTGAGTAATGAATTCAAAATCGGCATGTTGCTTGCTACGCGATACGGTTTCTAAAATAGATAAGGTAAAGACAATGGCATTTTTCATCTGTAAAACTCTATATATCATATCGTAGGTCGAGTTCCAGCGTGATGCTGCCTCATTTTTTAATTTTACTGTCGGGATGTCCATATCTACCGTAGAAGCTTGTAGTTGAGAAAGTGCCTGGCTATTGTGTTTAAAATAACCAACTATATTTGTTATTTTATCTACAACTTCCTTAATTTCACTCAAACCTGCTTGAGCAATACGATTTAAAGAATGAGCAAAACAGCCCCAGTGACTCCACCCGCCAATACGAACAGCTGCTTTCATATTTGCCTCATTATCTGACACAACGGCAACTATTTTATTAGTCAATTTCCATTCCTCTATGACTTCTCTAAGCTTATTGGCTATATTTTCAGCAGTGTGACTTTTCGTGTAAGATATACATCCCAACAAATCGGAAGACAAGAAGGTATTGTTGCTTTCCTCTACAATATAATGGGCAGTAACACTGTAAAAACAGTCATTTGTGCGGGAAGTCCAGCCCTCAGTTGTTAGACATACCGCAAATGCTCTATCCAGACGACTTTTAACTAATTCAAGTGCTTCATTGTAAACATCTGGAAGCATTAAATTTGAAACTGTTTTTCGTGTGGGAACCTTGTAATGAGGATTTAATAGATAAAGCAGGCGTTTAAATTCTTCATCCTCGACGATGCTGAAAGGATGATATTCCTTTGCAATCAAGGAAATTAACTGTTTATCAATATCTTTTTGTTTCGCAATTGACAGAGGTACTTGAATGGAACTGTTGATGGTTTGTAAATTACCTGCTCCTAAAGTTGCCGGACGTTGAATAGAATCTTCTGCTACTTGTAACAATTGATGAGAACTTGAACAATTATCTCCTTTAATTGGGGCTTGTGTCATTGTTTGTGTTCCGATTGGTTGAGTAGGATGCTTATGCTTTATGTGTCGGATAAGTGAAGATGTAGATCTATTTTTAACTGATAATTGTTGTCCACAATAGAGACATTTCACCTTTTCCTCCAACTCTCTGGAAAAGTGAGTCCAAAGCTGACTTTTTTTCGAGGCCAATCTAAATGCCAAGCGACGTTGTAACTGTTGATGAGAACTTAAACAATTATCTTCTTTAATTGGGGTTTTTGTTAGAGGTTGTCTTCTGATTGGTTGAGTAGGATGCTTATGCTTTATGTGACGCATAAGTGAAGATGTTGATCTATTTTTAACCGATAATTGTTGTCCACAATAGAGACATTTTACCCTGTCCTCCGACTCTTTCGAAAAGTGAGCCCAAAGCTGACTTTTTTTCTGGTCCATCTTAAATGTCAAGCAACTTTGCAACTGTTGATGAGAACTTGCGCTTTTATCTTCTTTAATTGGGGCTTCTGCTACTGTTTGTCTACTGATTGGTTGAGTAGGATGCTTATTCTTTTTATGTCGGATAAGTGAGAATGTAGATCTATTTTTAACTGATAATTCTTCGCCAGAATAGAGACATTTTACCTTGCCCTCCGACGCTTTCGAAAAGCGAGTCCAAAGCTGACTTTTTTTCGGGGCCATCTTAAATGTCAAGCAACGTTGCAACTGTTGATGAGAACTTGAACAATTATCTTCTTTAATTGGAGCTTCGGTTAATGTTTCTCTAGTGATTGGTTGAGGATGCTTATGCTTTATGTGCCGCATAAGTGGGAACGTAGATCTATTTTTAACTGATAATTGTTCGCCACAATGGAGACATTTTACCTTGCCCTCCGACGCGTTCGAAAAGTGAGTCCAAACCGGACTTGTTTTTGGGGCCATCCTAGATACGAAACAAACCTCAACTGAAACAGACAAATGAAACTAAAATATATCTCAATTATGTTGACAGTGATTCATATATATATACCTTTATCTTAGATTTTGATAATCCGAATTGAAGAACCAAAAGTAGGTAGCTCGTGCCTCACAATACTTATCTACTGAGATTCCTATTTAGGTTTCGCACCTAATAATAATTTTTTTCAACTCGAAATAATCGCAACTAAGAACTATGTTATAAGCGTGAGTTACAATGTGAATTTTCAGATGTTGACACAATGACACCGATACGCATAGAAAAGGACCAATACGGCTTGTGTCAATACAGCGCATCAGCGCAATTGTGTCACGAACGTCTAAATACGTGCTGCAGGCACCGTGCTGTTGCCAAGTTGTAGTGCAATATTTAACGTCAATTTTCTGGTTTTACGTGGTTATTTCTGAGAACCTACTTACCTGCCCATGGCATGGGGCGTGGATTTCAAAAGAAAAAATTATTGACCATTATTATCAAATTTATTCAACGCTTTGAAGTAATATTTCTGATATTAGTATTACTAATAGAGTTTGGAAGCGATTAGATGTACTTAAATTATGAAGTGACATTTTCCGAATAAGTATAAACAACTTAAAAAAATAATATTTGTATTTCTGCATTATATGGTGTGTCTACATCGTCTTTTACCTGAAATTTAGGATGATAAAAATCAGAATAATGTAACCAGTAACATTAGAGGTTCATTCGCACCATTAGTGTGACGTAATCAGTCATATCTATGGTGAAGCATCCGGCGTTGCTGCGATATGTCAGGGTTTTTAATCCAAACATTGAATCTTTTTCAACTGAATTTTGGGATTTTTCGATTTTGTGTGCCTCCAACGTATTTGATCTACTTGTAAAAACATCTATTGGTGTGGAATATGCTTTGTACCATCTCAAATAGTTTAGGCAGTATCTTTAGCGTAGCTTCTCGGGAATATATCGATTTAACTTTATCATTTTTAGGTTAAAGTTCAGCAATTTTATCGCAATAGAAAGAAAATAAGGAAGATATCGTCCGTTGAAGATTGCTACCGCTCAAAAACCGTTCAAAATAGACAGAAAATGTTGATTATTTGGGAACTGGAAAGGTCCCGGTGTCTTTTAATTAGCTCGTTGCATTCCTTGTTTCTTTCCGATGAAAATGATTTATCACTCGAGGTATTTTGAGGAACTTGAATTTTTTGGAAAAATCGACCTCTTATTCCCCTCTTATGAAATTTTCGACCAAAAATCAACATTTTGCAATCGCGTTTTTTGCCCTTATTGGAATGTTTCCGACCTCAGAAGTTGCTCAATAGCGAACATGAAAGTTGTGGGTCGAAAATAAGGAAGATATCGTCCGTTGAAGATTGCGACCGCTCAAAAAGCGTTCAAAATAGACAGAAAATGATGATTATTTGGGAACTGGAAAGGTCCCGGTGTCTTTTAATTAGCTCGTTGCATTCGTGTGTTAGTTTGTCGTCAAATTCCACCAGTTTGCTGCTTTTTTAGATTTTCTTGTAGTCCTGAAGGCTTTTTGAAAGTGTCTGGCAAAGGTGCCAGCTTTTGTCCAGCCTTTGTCACTGTGATATTTTAATAAAAGTAAATACTCCACTACATAAATAGCTTGCTAAAAAATATGCTTAATTCCACATGTAATTTATTTGATTGCAGGTTACTCATCAACAGCAGCGCTTCTACCCATTTTATTTGCCCTACCATTCGCCTGGAGAGTTCTGATCCATAGGGAGCATGGACATGGGGGAAATCGCATACCTGCATTCTACTTTGTGTATTTGGGATTGTTTTTGGGTAAGCTACGAAAGTTTAAACTCTTTGAAAATAATGATATTTTGCGGATGGCGTATCGATGCTGCTGGCACTGACTTTGGAACGTTACATTAGTGTGTTTCATCTAGGTCACGCTCGTCCCCTCTTAGGATCTTAGATTCAAGCGGTCATCTTCCTCCTGATCATCACATTTATTCTGTACGTTCCGATTTAAGAACAAAGACTTGAATTTTGGAGGAAAAACTGTCATATCTATACTCTGTACTTAGTGGAGGAAACTCATAAGACGATAAAGGTGTCAGTGCGTCAGTGTCATATGACTGCGCCATGCGCTCTGCTCTGTTCAATCTCGTTTTCTTTGGTTTCGCTGTATTGACACACTCAGGTTTATTTTTCTATCTTTTTAATGAATGCAATAAATAAAGATACACCACATTTTCTCCTCGTGCGATGGTATTATCCCGATGCTCATAATTACAAAATACTTAACATAATGCAGGCCGATCTGCCGTCAGGGTTAGGAATCAAATTGTGACACCGTGACACTCACACTCACCCGCAACTTTGCAATGTTGATGATGCTAGGTTCGGGTTTGCAATGGAACTTGGTTTGGAAAAAATACAATTTATTTAAACGCTAAACATAATTACCATTATACTTAATATAAATAACTTAAGAGCAAGTAAGTGTCCCATTTCGACAGATTATTGGAAGTAAAGCATAGCTTAAATCACTTTCGTTTAAACAAAATAATGTTTCTGAAACTTACTATACTGATGGCACATTTTTCTAATGTATACAACAAATTATGTATACATTAAAACATTTTCTTACGGAACAGATATATGAAATAGGATTAACGTAATACATAAAAACCGGCGTTTGTACATATTAGAATTCTTTAAAAGAAGCTATAAAATACTAAAGCTGCAGTCTAGGGCATTCATTTGTATCAGCAAAAATTTTAATCGGGAAAAAACCGTTGCAAAACGCGTCATTTACCCCCTATCCCAGGTCACCGCTTTCATACACAATAAAACTTTGGCACGTTGCATAAAAATTAATAAATTTAATTTGATCTTATAAAAATTTGCCTCAAAATCTTAGTAGTCAATAGAAAACATTCAGTTTAGAATTAGTGTTAAAATGTAAAAGTGCAAAACAACTAAGACAATCTGCAAAGTCTCTGATCTTTAACCTGATCTCTGACCTTTAAGACTATTTAGTTAGTCAGTAAGTTAAAAAACTAAGTGTATTGTTTCTACCTTTGGCCTAGTTGAACGAAAATTTTACTGTTTTTAAATAGATAGATGGATTGAACAGAACAATTTTCTGGGCACTAAAAATCATTCTATAAACTCTCAGGCCAGTAGTTTAAAAAATAGAGGTATAAATGGTAAGCGAAAAGTCCGTTTCATAATAATTTACACTTATGCAATATTCAATTTTTTTCGTAAATAATTAATATGTACAATATGAGTACTAATTAAAAAACAAATTACAAGTTCAACTTTAACATTGTCGCCACCAGCTTTAAAAAAATAGGCCCTTATCAGACACTTTTCCTTTCTGCATAGTCTATATTCAACATCTACCCCAATGGTGGATCTTCTGTTAATGTTGGACTGAGATGATTGTCCCCTATAATAATTCCTCCGTTTACTGGTGGGCTGCCAATTGAGTTATTTACGGGGGATTGATTCTTATTCCTCAACTCGAACACTTGCTGGATGGCATTGCGGAAGCACAGAAAGTTGTAATCGATTATGCCTTTGTGGTCGAAATTGTCCTCTCTTAAGATGCAAACGAGGGCCAGGAATTTATTCACTTCTCTCAGATAGAGAACAGTTCCGTTGTTCAATTTAATCAGGCTTGAGCTCTGTTCATCGAAAGCTGTTGGTTCTTGCTCTTCTTTAACTCTAAAACGTTTCAATACTTTAAAACCAGATTTTTCGACGTGTTTAATTAATTACCCATAAATTGAGGACAAATCTGTGACGACGTCAATCATATCACAGCACAGCTCATAACTCTGCATGTCGACTGGTGTGGAATCCGTAGCTATATAGATTTTTGAGACTACATCGAACAAAAACGATTTTTCTATAGCTGAATTCTGCAAATGAAAAAATGCAGATAAAGCAATTTGTTTACATTGCCTATTCAGGAATGCTTACAGTATTTAAAATATTGAGGAGGTTTTCTAGAGCTGGTAGCTGAGTAATCAACTTTTGCACCACTTTTGAGAATGCCTCAAATATAGAGTGATCGTAAATTGAAGTCAGATGAAAGCTTAAATGGATTTGTTGGTCATATCCTAAAACAAGAACCATTAGAAACCCTGAAAGTGAATTTGTCTCAGCTTGTAAAGTTTCTTGATGAATACAATAGGTAATATTAATATTAGATATTAAACTGCTGAACAAAATACACGCTGGTGGATACATTCTGATCGCTGAGAGCGATTTGATTTCTTGTTTGAAGCGTTATTTAGTACAATTCTTTTTCGGTTAGTGCGTGTTTTTCATAAAATTGGTGGTTCAGATAAAGTTTCTACAGGGTGGCAAATGAAACAATGCCCAATCGGTGAAAGTTCCTCATGGTCTAAGTTAGACAAAAAAAGTTTTTTGTATGTCAACATCACAAACCTCGTATCTCTTTAAATTATAGAGTGGTCTTAAAAAAACAACTTTTTGATGTTAGAGCAAAATGTTTTTCCATTTGAACCGATTAGCAACATCTAAAGTTCATGTTAATTTAAAGCTTTGCAGTCAACTAGAGAAAAAAATTCATTATACCAGGTTGCATGAATGAACGAAATATTTATAAGTGAACTTCACTTTAGTTGAAAGTCTGCTAGAAGCACAGACTTCGGGGCACAATTCTGCTTTTGGTAATTTTCTATGCAACCCTTATTATTAAATTTTTGTCTTAATTTGTCGATGAAGTTTTAGCTCTAGCTCTCATGAACATGAGCTTTAGATTGCTGAAATCGGACTAAGAGCAGAAAAGTTCTCGCTGCAAGACCAATAAGTTGATTTTTTGAGACCACCTTGTAAATAGAAGATATGGCCAAAACTGTCAAAAACCGTTTCGAGTAATTTGACTTATCTTTAAACTTTTGGTGCTGAAATCCGAAAAAACTATTTTTGTCCGACTAGGAGCATACCAAACTTTCCGCAATTTTTCATTTGCCACCCTGTAGAAAATTTATCTGAGGTGCTTAATTTTTACAACAGGGACCAATTTTAACAGACCACAAATGGTGCTAAACAACCCTTCAAATAGAAAGCAAATAGCTCGAAGCGATCAGAATTTGATCTATTTTGATAATTCAGGCTCATTTTGTTGAGCAGTTTAGATAGGTACCTGAATCGCTCAAGTCATCCATTGCTCTTTGATGAATATCTCTTTGACACTCCATTTTTGAATCATCTCCCAACCCATCTACTTTATGGATAAAAACCTCGAACTTTATATTCGGATTAACTTTGTAGGCTTTAGTCACAAAACGATTCAGCTTATTTAACGCTTCCAAATAATCATCCTGGAATGAGTTTATACGAATAACGATTGAAATAAAAATTAAGGGATGAGAAATAATAATAACTACTGTATTTCAATAGCTTTCAATGGGGAAAGGGCTACTTTTACTTCTTTACATCAAAGGTACTAAGTGGGTTTCAGAAAATCAGGTTTCTAATCAGTTACTTAAAGAAAACCAGAAATCTGATTCTCAAACGCTTTATTTACCTGTGCATCAATGACAAATACTAAAGCTCCACATCCGCCAAAAATCATATCAAAATCAAAACAGGTATCGACAAAATCAATTTGTCCGGGGAAGTCCCAAATTTGAAACTGAACAAAGCTGGAATTGTTGATGTCGTCTTTTATTATTTTGTTTGTGCTTTCGAGGAACAGAGTTTCATTTGGGGACATTTTATGAAAAACCACCTTTTGAATAGATGACTTTCCAGACCTAAAATTCATTAAATAGCTATATCTGGGTATCAGCTAGCTATATGCTTTCCTAACATGCGAACATGTTAGGGCTACAGAAACTACGAAATTAATTGACTGCAAACCGTACGTGTTCTCAACAATTACTTTTGTCCACACGTTTATTTAATAAAAGCAATTAGTAGTTTGGATTTGTACATAACCAGAATAACCCCCCTTCTGACTCATAGTTTCACATGAATCAATCAGAAACAATGCCAATAATTCACGCTTGTTATCAGTTACAAAACTAATTTTCTTGATAGTTTATAATAATTTATGAACAGCGCCTTAGGAGCAAAAACATTGCAATTAAATTAAAAATGCCTTTGAATGTGCAAGTGTGTTGATAAGTAAATTCTGCCCCTTCATTTGTTTTGAATGCCAAGCAAACCAGGGAATTGTTTTCAAACGACTACCTTCTAAGCCCCATAAGCAGAATTCTGGGCTTGTGGTCTGCAGGATTCGAGTCTTGCTCATTATCAAAGGCTCCATATCCGAATTCTTTGGGAAACGAGCCTGCCTGACTATCAAAGGGGACACCTTCTTCATCATCTTGATAAGACGACTGAAAACGTTTCCATACGTAACATAGAACATTATAAAACACCAGCACTTAATGTAATGAATATTTTGCAAATTTTTGGGGCAACTGTTAGAATCTAAGCATATAAATTGACGGAAATTTTACCATGGTAAGTGCCTGGAAATGCTGAAAATCTGAAACACACCTGGCCTAAATTTCAATCGGATAAACACTGATAACTGCTTTTAACAGGAAAGTTAATATTGTTCTTATTATCCAAGTTTTGTTGTGACACTTAACTTTTGATAATTTGAAGGTTAACAAGGAATATTTCAAGTTAAACCTAACCTCACAGAAACAGCAAGGGTACGTGTAGGTGATACCATATTTTTTTCACTCGCTCTTACAGGAATTGTCTTGAGGAACTCGTGCCATTCTATTTCTCTAATTTATTATCAGACCAATAGTTTGATAATCTGTGTATCAGTCTGGTATCAGACTTTAATCTAATCTAACCTCGCTTTTGAGTGTGTTTCATTGCAAGAATTTTCTTTGTTGTTAATATAGATGAGCCGATATTTAATTTAGTTCAATTTATATTTGAAGTGAGCAGCCACTACTGATCCAGGTAAAGTAGATGCCGTCTGAATGAATTCTCTTCTATTAGAAATAATTGAGAAAACACATGATGCCTTTTGACATCAATTCGGTCCTTTCTTTTCATTTGCTGTTATTTCTAAGCTCTTTAACTTATCTGCCTCTATTTTATTGTATTATTTGTGGTACATGTTTTAATTTATCGAGTTCAGGGTTTATTCAGGCCAGTTCTAGATGCTAAGCGATCATTCCACAAGTACCTAGTTATGAGTAATTACTTGTATTTTTCATTAAATTCTGTTAACTATAAAAATTAAAAGTAAAGTTCTAGCTTGTCAAGTACTCGCGTTTTAAATTAACAATAAGCACTTTCTAAAAAGGCCATTTATTTATCTCTAGAATGATGTACAAATGAGCGTTCTTGCTCATTTTGCCTTTCTGGGTCAAAACTGCTCGAATTTTCTCACTCACGTTGTTACGACTGAATCGACTTTTCAATTCTCTATCCAACGATGCCAAAACGGATTCTGTGGCTCGAATGGTTCTTGAGAAAACTTCGAATAAAGGCCATTTAGTTATCTCTGGAATGATGTAAAAACTAGCGTTCTTGCTCATTTTGCTTCCGAGAAACATGCAAAACGAGACGGAAATCACGAAATTTTGCAATAATCTTGGGCCACCCTTGCACAAAACGACGATAATTTTTCTAATTTCATAGATAACAGAAGACTGTATTTTTTCTACATAACCCCCCTCTCCTGACTTTAAAGCTGGATCCGCCCCTGATTTCACGGTTGGACTCAATAGTAAAATATTGTTTTTCCAATTTTGTAGGCAGTGGTCCATAAGGGTTAGAACCTGACGTTTCGTCTGCAACTGCTGCAGACGTTATGTTGCAGTTTTAAGCAATATTCGCAAAATATTACTCTTTTGATAATAGAAGTTTATCTAATATATCTGATGATTGTTTGTCTAGCCATGGGGAAAGTGAAACGTTCAAGACAAAAGTTTCACGTAGCAGCCAGCAAACGAGCTTTACTCACTCAACGTTTCGAGAGTCCCACAGGAACAAAATCGCCGGAATCAGCTCTGCCTGTACCAAGTGACGACTTATTTGCTGGCCTCCACATTGACATCAGCACACTGAAAACGAAACTAAACAGCGATGCTCATAGTGTAAAATCCTTCAAGTCAACGAAATCGGAAAAATCTGGACAGAATATCATGCCGAAGAAAGACAAATTGAGACTGCGCCGAGAGATGCTGATGAAGAAAATCGACGCAGTAAATCACATGAAAAAGAATCTCAAGATAAGGGAAAAAAGGAAAACAATCGCTATAATAGGCGACACCAACCCTTTGCACGACGCCTTGCCTTCCCTGGAATCACTACTAAAGAACCGCCCAAGTGCGAAAAAACAGGCTCCTGTCCCGAGGAAGCCGAAAGCAATCGAAAAAGCCGACAGGCGAAAGAAGGAACTGATCCAAGGAATTAAAATATTTAAGAGTGTATTAAAGAACAAACACTTTCGGGCCAATCCTTTAGAAGCAATTTCGAAGCAAGTGCAAGCTGTGGTAGCTCAGCAGCAGATGAAGCAAAGCAGATAAATATTAGAAACTAATTATAGAAGTTTATATTGTTGAGAAGCTAAATATAATATGTTGTAATTGTCGATTAACTCTTTGATTTCCAATAACTGGCCTCTATTCCAACTGTGTCTTGTTTAATACTCAAAGTTCGTTTCAATGCATGGATACGATTCTTGGTTCGCTTCAGTGAAACAGAAACCATTTAATTCAATACTAAATAAATGCTATTTTACAATTGATAAACAATAATTAAACGAACGATGGACGTTATCCAACGAAACTAAAACGTTAACCCGTAACTTCTTGGCTTTTGCAGCTTTCAAAGTTAAAAGGACTCCAGTATATCCTGGATGATTTGCCTTAGAAATTTGTGCTGCAGGCATTGTGTTAAGGTTTCTAAGGTTGTCCGGATTCTTATCTGTTCTTCGGTTAACTTGGGCCTCTGTTCGATGTTAATTACGTCCTGCAGTGTCCACAGCAAATACGCAAAAACCGATGATTGAGTTGCCATGTAGTCACTAAATTCCGGTTTGAGTTTGTACGTTAAGGAACATTCAAGTTTTTCCAATATTGTCTGCAGAATGATGTCGTAATAGATGTGGCAATGGGCAAGTTGAGTTAGGATTTGTTGTACTACGTTTATGGCCTGCAATTACAAATAAACAGATTTTCCGTAGCTATGTAGGTACTACAGATTATTTATATTAGAGATAATTGTAGTGAAAACCTGATGATTTGTCAAAATAACTCACTTTGAAATCTTTAGGGATTTTCTGCCCAGGAATGTTGTCTGCTGCTGTGATAATCTTAAATAAATCATAAATCCAATGCGTAACTAGCTGTTGTGTATTTTCGCTAGTACTCGGTTGAATATTAGTGGTAGTCAATGTGAAGATACACGTTTTTGCAATATTGAAATAATCAAAAAATTCATTCACATTTAAAGTTTCCAGTTCTCCTCGTAGAAGATTTATGATATAGAGAAGACAGTCTCGCAGCATCTGCAATATCGCTCTGTTGATGTCAATTTCTCCTTCAGCTATTTCTCGTTGGAAATGCTCATCAAGTTCTACGGTGTTAATTAACACATATTCTTCTGAATTGCATACATTGTCGGAGATTATTTCGGTTAAAGCGTTTTTTGGCATCAAAGTTTCGCGTTTTTCTTTGATCGCGCTTAAAAGCACCGACAATTTTTTGAGGCAAATCAGCTTCTTCAAAAACAGCTTCTTCACGTCGTTTGTTACTTTTTCTTGGGTATTGTCGTTTAAACCCAATTCTTTTATCATTGCTTCGAGCCTGAGAGTTTTACTCATTTTGAACACTTTGGTTGAAGTTCAATTGCTACTTTTATAGGCAATTGTCAAATATTTGATCTTAATTGTCGATTTATTCATTTCACAGCCTACTAAGAACGCTAAATTGAAGCATTCTGTTCGTCGTGCTTTGAAAAAAGCGTTTAATATTGGGAACTAATTTATTAGTCGGTCTTTGGAAGCGAATTGATTATTTAAATATCCAATTGGAATATATTTAAAAAAAAAACTGCAGAAATACTAGAAGCAACTAATTTAAGTTGGGAAGGAATGAAGCAGGTGTGTACACACTGAAGAAAATCCCATCAAAGAAGATGTATATTTGTAATATAGTGTGTGTATATAATGAAGCGTGTGGTTTGATTCCACCTTTGAAAATAGGGGAATCTTGAATATAATGGAAAAATAATAAATATCATATAATAATTTAAGTTGACAAAAAAGAATATAGCTTCACTGACGTCATCAGATACATTGTTCAAGATAAGGCGTCACCATAATAAATCTAACCCCAAATGCCAACTCGTACTCGTCTTTATCTATGGTGCTAGGTTAGCTTGTGGCTTGTATTTATCCGCTTTATTTTTCCTAGCTGCTACGTGTTGAAGCGAATGAAAATATATAAAGCAGTAAAGTGTTAATAGTTATTACAATAGTGTGATGCCCAAAAGGGCAAACATTTTCAACAAGTAGGCCGGTATGTATATCGTTTTATTACTCTGCAGTTGTCGGTTCCATTTTTTTAACCTAAAAAGTGTGCTCAACACTTCATGGAAAATTTTGATGATCATATTGAGGCTCTTATTTCGAATACATGCAAATCGTACATCTATTAATTACTTCGAACATCCTCGATACACCACTTGCAAAATTCGATTTATACATTTAAAAATATCATTTGGCGTACCATGTTGGACTGTTCTCTATGGGACGGAACATGGTAGCAGAAAGGGGGCCCTTCAGTCTTGCCCAACTTGAAAAAAACGCAACTTTATACATGTCAATGAATGAAATGAGTTAAGCTAGCACAGTTCGTAAAGTCGGCTTAAAATGCTGGTCGGACTAAAACTAGTACTTTGTCTAAATAAAAATTAATTATTGGTTTTGGTGCTACTAGTGCCTTTAACAAACCTGCAAATGTTTAAGACATGTCGAGGGAGTAGTTGGTCTACTATTCTGTGTACAAATAGTATATTTTCATGGGTCACTGTTGGTATTACTCAACAGATTTATGAGATTCAGTAAATTAGTTCTTGCTTTGAGATAAGTTAACAAAACTAGACTTGCCCTGGAACAACCATCCAACCGTACTAAAAAAATAGGAGTTAGTTAATAGGAGGGCACGATAATACTTTCCTTCCATCTTGCGGGTATTTTTTCTTCTCGCCATATAAGTGTTTTTGCACAAATGTGAATTTGTTTATTTGGCGATGTAGGTGCCTTGTGGTTCTTTAATTTATTTCAAGCCTTTTATTAATTTCTCGCTTTTTTTTGCAATGAAAATCGTGCGGTACTTGGGTAGGTACCTACTGTGAGCAAATTTGAGCTTTCTCAAAAATATTGAACACAGTCTTATGAACTTTATGCACATTTGCCCGAAATCGAGTTTTCAATGTGTACTTTTTTAGCTTAATAGTACATGTAACATAAATTTTCTCAATTTGTGTAATAGTTATCACCAGTTAACAGTTAAAATTGTTTAAAGTCCGCTGAAAATTAAACTCTTTGTTGGCTATTTCGGGTCAGAAAGTCGACGTGTCCTTACCTCGTTTAATTTTTGCAATGAATATCGTATAGAATTGAGACATTTTAAACAATTTGATTTTTTCAATTCAAGTCTCATTCTCCAAACCGAAAAATTGAAATTACTTCTGATAATAAATCTGAAAGAAATCGTAGTCTTTCTAAACATCGACATACGAGGGCCGTCCGATAAGTACCTAGCCTCACCGCCCAATGGTGCTACTATCGCAATAAAAATCGTGTTTTTGAAAAATGGAAAAAAATATCGGTCGGTGATTCGATTCTTGTTTCTGGAAGTAAAATCACGAAGTAAAATTAAACTTCTTCTATAGCGACTGTCAAAAATTGGTTATCTCAAGTAGGCATCTCAAAAGACCGCGTGGGTCATATCCTACATGAAATTTTGGGCATGAGAAAGAAAGCTGTGCTAACTCCGGACAACAAGCGAAACCGTGGCACCACTTCAGAGCAGCGTTTGACGCTGTTTACGCGCAATCCAAAAGAGTTTCTGCGTCGTTTTGTGACCGTCGATGAAACATGGATCCACTGGTACACAAAGACAGTCGAAACAGTGGACTTTACCCGACGAACGTGCTCCGAAGAAGGCATTCTCTTCTATCGATTAGAAAGGTGATGGCCACCGTTTTCTGGGATTCACAAGCTTGATCTACATCGGCTACCCGGAGAAGGAAAAAACGATCACAAAGCTCTACTATATCGATATATTGGGCCGATTCGACGTCAAATTGCAGAAAAAACGGCCCCATTTGGCAAAAAAAGGGCTCGTCCACCTTGAGATCACACCGGCCCACACCTCCGCCGTCGCAAGGGCCAAATGGTCGAATTGAAAACGAACTGCTGCCCCACCGTATTCTCCAGGTTTGGCCCCGTGCGACTTCCTTTTGTTTCCAAGCTTGAAAAAGCCATTCGACGGGCAGAAATTTCAGTCGAATGAGGAGGTCATTGCCACCACGGAGACCTACATTGCATACCTCGAGAAAACGTATTTCTCAGCCGGGTTAAGGAAGTTGGAACATCGCTAGGCCAAGTGAATCGAATGAAAAAGAGACTATGTTAAAAAATAAATCTTCAAAATTTTCGGTTTTTTTTGTAGGCTAAGTACTTATCGGACCGCCCTCATATGAGCTTTATGGACCCGTTTTTGCCATTGATTTATCTACTTAATTGAGCAATAATGGATTATCAATAGTCGTTTTTTCAGTTCGAAAAACTACGGACAACATGTCCATGCCACCGTATTTACTGGGTCCAAACCCATGGGCCCAGATGATGGCTCAGCAACAACTGGCTGCTGCTCATGCTCAAGCTCAGGCTGCAGCAGCTCAAGCTCATGCTCATGCTATGCAACAACAGATGCCCCCTCCGCATCCCAAGCCGGATATTATGACTGAAGATAAATTACAGGAAAAAGGTAATTCACTTTGAAGATATTGAAACCCGGAGGTATCTATCGTTGCTTTAAATTTCATAGCCCAAAAATGGCACCAACTGCAGTCGAAGCGTTTTGCCGATAAAAGGAAATTGGGATTTATTGAGGCGCAAAAGGAGGACATGCCGCCGGAGCATATTCGGAAGATTATCAGAGATCATGGCGACATGAGCAGTCGTAAATACAGACATGATAAACGTGTTTATTTGGGGTATTACGTAATCATTTTCATATTGAGACTTATTTTTACTTGAAAATGTTTCAGTGCTCTCAAATATATGCCACATGCGGTGATGAAGCTGCTGGAAAACATGCCTATGCCATGGGAACAGATACGGGATGTGAAAGTTTTATACCACATAACGGGCGCTATTACGTTTGTTAATGAAATTCCTTGGGTGATTGAGCCAGTTTACATTGCTCAATGGGGGTAAGGAGACAAATATTGCCTCTGTAGTAAGTAACTGACTATGTCTGGTTTTTAGAACTATGTGGATTATGATGAGGAGGGAAAAACGGGATCGTCGCCACTTTAAAAGAATGCGATTTCCTCCTTTCGACGACGAAGAACCTCCTTTGGATTACGCTGATAACGTATTAGACGTGGAGCCTCTAGAAGCTATTCAAATCGAGTTAGATCAAGATGAAGATTATGCTATTGCTAAGTGGTTTTATGACCACAAACCCTTGGTAAGACACCATAACTGACATGGTTAAATAGCAAGCAAATTGCAATCATGTGGTTTTCCAGGTGGGCTCTAAATACGTCAATGGGTCAACTTACCGCAAGTGGAACTTGTCTCTACCCATGATGGCAACTTTATATCGTTTAGCCAACCAATTGCTGACGGATTTAGTTGATAACAACTACTTTTACTTGTTTGATACGAAAAGCTTCTTCACTGCTAAAGCGTTGAATATGGCCATACCTGGTGGTCCCAAATTTGAGCCTCTTATCAAAGATATGAATACAGCGTGAGTTTATAATTATAATAAAAAAATATTTTTTCAGTGAAATACTAAATTAATTTTTAGGGACGAGGACTGGAACGAATTTAATGATATTAATAAAATCATCATCAGGCAACCCATTCGAACCGAATACAGAATAGCGTTTCCGTATTTATACAATAATATGCCCCATTTCGTCCACTTATCCTGGTAAGCTTTTAATGTTGTCTTAGTCTATATTAGCATGATTCACACCTGCTCTCCATTTCGTCTTTATTTATAGTTGTAATGGAGGCATTGTGAAAAATAAATTAATGTGGACGATATGTCTTTTATTTGAAAGATTCACAATGAAAGAGCTGATAAACCACTTACATTTTTCTAAAGCTATTAATTAGCCTGCACAAAATAAGCTTTTTAAACCTTCACCTTTCACTGAATAACTAATTATAGGTATCGTGCTCCCAACGTTGTCTACATCAAAACTGAAGATCCGGATTTGCCAGCTTTCTATTTTGACCCGTTGATAAATCCGATTTCGCATAGACATGCCGTCAAGAGTTTGGAACCCCTTCCAGACGATGAGGAAGAATTTATTTTGCCAGAAACGGTACAAGCGTTTCTGCAAGAAACGCCACTTTACACCGACAATACGGCCAATGGCATTGCGTTGTTGTGGGCTCCGAGGCCTTTTAATATGAGATCAGGTAATTTTCAGATTGGAGAGAATACATAGTTAATTTTAAGGAGTTTTGCTTAATTTCCAGGACGTACTAGAAGGGCCATAGATGTTCCATTGGTAAAATCATGGTACATGGAACACTGTCCACCTGGACAGCCTGTTAAAGTGCGTGTCAGCTACCAGAAATTGCTGAAATATTACGTTTTGAATGCTTTGAAGCATAGAGCTCCCAAACCGCAGAAAAAACGATATCTGTTTAGGTCCTTTAAATCCACTAAATTCTTCCAAACAACCACTCTGGACTGGGTTGAAGCAGGTCTTCAAGTATGCAGACAGGGCTATAATATGCTCAACTTGTTGATTCATAGAAAAAATTTGAACTATCTTCATTTGGACTATAATTTTAACTTGAAACCTGTAAAAACTCTGACTACAAAGGAAAGAAAGAAGTCACGGTTTGGAAATGGTAATAGTTTTTGATCTGCCACTGTTTACTCGCAGCTAATTTGCTTCAATGTTTTAGCCTTCCACTTGTGTCGAGAAATTTTGAGACTCACCAAGTTGATTATTGACTCTCACGTTCAATATCGTCTCAATAATGTCGACGCATTCCAATTGGCTGACGGCCTTCAATACATCTTCGCCCATGTTGGTCAACTTACTGGAATGTATCGTTACAAGTATAAACTGATGAGACAGATTAGGATGTGCAAGGACTTGAAACATTTAATCTACTATCGATTTAACACGGTTAGTACTGCTTGCTCTTTGTTTAATAGCATAATCTTATTCTATGTGGATGATAGGGACCGGTTGGCAAGGGACCAGGATGTGGATTTTGGGCTCCTGGATGGAGAGTGTGGCTTTTCTTTATGCGCGGTATCACTCCATTGTTGGAGAGATGGCTGGGAAATCTGCTCTCTCGGCAGTTTGAGGGGCGTCATTCCAAAGGTAAGTTTGATTCATTACATATACAGGGTGTCCCATAAGCATATGTTCTTGTCTTTCTCCGTTGATCTGTTCGACTTGGAAGTTCCTACTGGTAGTTATACTACCGTCCATATAGCTCTCGGGATCATTAAGACACGCAATGCCCATCACCGCGTCAAGTTGGATTTTCCAGCCTAATTAATTTACTGGTTACAGGCGTCGCAAAAACCGTTACAAAACAACGTGTTGAATCCCACTTCGATTTGGAGTTGCGTGCGTCCGTAATGCACGATATTGTTGATATGATGCCTGAAGGTATAAAGCAAAATAAAGCCCGGACAATTTTGCAACATCTGTCTGAAGCTTGGAGGTGCTGGAAGGCAAATACTCCATGGAAGGTAAACACTTTACATCACACTAACTGCAGATTAATTCACATTCTTCCATGTAATTCTGCAGGTTCCTGGTCTGCCAATTCCAATCGAAAACATGATCTTGCGTTACGTTAAAATGAAAGCCGATTGGTGGACCAACACGGCGCATTACAACAGAGAAAGGATTCGAAGAGGCGCCACAGTTGATAAGACCGTTTGCAAGAAGAATTTGGGAAGACTGACCAGATTATACTTAAAAGCCGAACAAGAAAGACAACATAACTATTTGAAAGTAAGTGTTGTAAAGTGTAAAGAAAGGTAGAGTTGAAAGCTTTATTTTACTGCATGGTCCAATTTTCTAGGATGGTCCTTACATTTCTCCAGAAGAGGCAGTAGCCATATATACAACTACTGTTCATTGGCTAGAATCCAGGCGATTTGCGCCTATACCTTTCCCCCCTCTTTCATATAAACATGACACCAAACTATTAATATTAGCCCTGGAAAGATTGAAGGAAGCATACAGTGTTAAATCTAGGCTGAATCAAAGTCAAAGAGAGGAATTGGGACTTATCGAACAGGCGTATGATAATCCCCATGAAGCCCTTTCAAGAATCAAACGTCATTTGTTGACTCAAAGAGCTTTTAAAGAAGTTAGTATTGTTGTTGTTGCATTGTGAACTTGTGCTTGACTGGGAATTGTTTCAGGTTGGAATTGAATTCATGGATTTATACAGTCACTTAATTCCTGTATATGATGTCGAGCCTCTCGAAAAAATTACAGATGCTTATTTAGACCAGTATCTGTGGTATGAAGCAGATAAGAGGCGGCTTTTCCCTCCATGGATTAAGCCAGCCGATACAGAACCTCCACCGTTGTTGGTCTACAAATGGTGTCAAGGTAAGTTCATTTAAATAATTGAATCGATAACTAGAGGATAGTTTAACTGAAGTCTGTTTGAGCCAAATGGACTATTTCTACTTTATTTTATTTTAGCTTTGGCAGATTGTTTGCCAAAAATTTAATGTGTTAATTAATTTCAGGAATCAACAACTTGCAGGATGTTTGGGAGGTCAATGAAGGAGAGTGTAACGTTTTGCTGGAATCTAAATTTGAAAAGTTATACGAAAAAATTGATTTAACGCTACTAAATAGATTGTTGCGTCTGATTGTCGATCACAACATAGCTGATTACATGACAGCTAAGAATAACGTTGTTATTCATTACAAAGACATGAACCATACTAACAGCTACGGAATTATACGAGGTATGTTTCCTAAAATATTTATAATGTTGTACTGTGGTGATGGTGACGTTAAAGTAGGACTCAATTCAGTTTCTGAAATAACAGTTTCTTTATTTGTCGAGTCTGCAAATTGCTTACAATTAACCTAGTTACATGGCTAAAGGTAAACGCTTACCTGAAATAGCAGAAACAACATTTAAAGTCCTTACTTCCACAATAGTTTTTACAGAGAGTTAGAATAATTGAATAAGATCTGTGATCTGTGCACGTGTTCTAACTATCTTCTCGCTGTCGACGCACGCGAGGCTCTCGCGTATAATCACTGCCGACCCCCACTTTTCGCACAGTCTACAAGTGCGCGAAATATAAATGTATTATTAAGGTCATATATTGGCTTTACATATTTCGTCTATTTTTCCATTGTAGGATTGCAATTTGCTTCATTTATTACTCAGTATTACGGGCTTGTGTTGGATTTATTAATACTGGGTTTGCAAAGAGCCAGTGAAATGGCTGGTCCTCCTCAAATGCCCAACGATTTTCTCACATTCCAAGATGTTCAAGCTGAAACATGTCATCCAATCAGGCTTTATTGCCGATATGTTGATCGCATTCACATGTTCTTCAGGTAAGCAGAAAGCAATTTAACCGCTACAATCAAGAATTGCGCACGAATTTTTTACAAGGGATCTAATTTATTTTGTTTCCTTATTTTTCCGTATCTGCATATGATAGATCTGTTGTACTTCAGGTTTTCAGCCGAAGAAGCTAAGGATCTTATTCAGAGGTACTTAACTGAACATCCTGATCCCAATAATGAAAATATTGTGGGTTACAACAACAAAAAATGTTGGCCCAGAGATGCCAGAATGCGATTGATGAAGCACGACGTTAATTTGTAAGTATTATTTAAAATAATAATATTTCTCCGCTTTGTAAAGTACGTTAGGAAGTTGATAGCATCTATTTAATTATTCCAAAGGGGGCGCGCAGTGTTTTGGGACATCAAGAATCGTCTCCCCCGTTCTGTCACCACGATTCAATGGGAGAATAGTTTTGTCAGCGTTTACTCCAAAGATAACCCGAATTTGCTGTTTAACATGAGCGGTTTTGAATGCCGAATTTTACCCAAGTGCCGAACGCAACATGAGGAATTTACGCATAGAGATGGAGTTTGGAATTTGCAGCATGAAGGAAGCAAAGAAAGGACGGCTCAGTGCTTTTTGAGGGTCGATGATGAATCAATGAGCCGATTCCATAACAGAGTTCGGCAAATTCTTATGGCATCCGGATCTACCACTTTCACAAAGATCGTGAATAAGTGGAATACGGCTTTGATTGGCCTAATGACTTATTTCAGGTAGGCATATCTCAATATTTTTTTACTTAAATACATGTAAACCTTGTGTTCTTTCTCGACATTCGAAATGAGTGTGAAGTTGCTAATAATTTAGTGTTTCAGGGAGGCTGTGGTAAATACGCAAGAACTGTTGGATCTTCTAGTTAAATGCGAAAACAAGATTCAAACCAGAATAAAAATTGGTCTTAATTCTAAAATGCCCAGTCGGTTCCCCCCCGTCGTGTTCTACACTCCGAAAGAACTGGGCGGGTTGGGAATGTTGTCCATGGGTCATGTTCTTATTCCCCAGTCAGACTTAAGGTAATATATGTGCTATTTTACAATTGTATCTATTTTATTTGATAATTGTAATTAGGTGGTCGAAACAAACCGACGTTGGAATTACCCACTTCCGATCAGGTATGAGCCACGATGAAGATCAATTGATTCCCAATTTGTACCGTTACATTCAGCCGTGGGAATCTGAATTTATTGATTCACAAAGAGTATGGGCTGAATATGCTCTTAAGAGACAAGAAGCGAATGCTCAAAATCGGAGGTTGACTCTAGAGGACTTGGAAGATTCTTGGGATAGAGGAATTCCCCGAATAAATACTTTGTTCCAAAAGGATAGGCATACTTTGGCTTACGATAAGGGATGGAGAATCAGGTTAGCTATCAAGGTTATTGACTTTTTCCAAGGTTTAATGAACTTTTTTATTCAGAACTGAATTCAAACAGTACCAAGTCCTGAAACAGAACCCCTTCTGGTGGACGCATCAGCGTCACGATGGTAAACTGTGGAATTTGAATAACTACAGAACCGACATGATCCAAGCTCTTGGAGGAGTTGAGGGTATTCTCGAACATACGTTATTTAAGGGCACATATTTCCCTACTTGGGAGGGTCTCTTCTGGTACGTCTTTGCAAAGATTGAAAAGTCCTAGTGTTTTTTATGTGTTATCTATTTTAGGGAAAAAGCATCTGGTTTTGAAGAATCTATGAAATACAAAAAGCTGACAAACGCTCAGAGGTCCGGTTTGAATCAGATCCCCAATCGTCGATTCACCCTTTGGTGGTCACCTACAATCAACAGAGCCAACGTATATGTTGGTTTCCAAGTGCAACTGGATTTGACTGGTATTTTCATGCACGGTAAAATACCCACTTTGAAGATTTCCCTTATCCAGATCTTCAGGGCTCACTTGTGGCAAAAAGTCCACGAATCAATTGTCATGGATCTTTGTCAGGTATTTTAAGGCTTTATATAATTTATCCGTGTTTCATTGATGTTAATTTAGGTATTTGATCAAGAATTGGACGCGCTAGAAATTGAAACAGTCCAGAAAGAGACTATTCATCCCAGAAAATCATACAAAATGAATTCCTCCTGTGCAGATATTCTTCTCTTCTCTGCTTACAAGTGGAATGTATCTAGACCATCATTGTTAGCTGATACGAAGTGAGTTTATAGGTTTCAAGTTTCGACTTTTCTTTAAATTTTCCAATTTTTATAGGGATACCATGGATAACACCACTACTCAGAAATACTGGATTGATGTGCAACTAAGATGGGGTGATTACGATTCCCATGATGTTGAGCGATATGCTCGTGCCAAATTTTTGGACTACACAACCGATAATATGTCCATTTATCCTTCACCCACTGGTGTTTTGATTGCCATCGACCTGGCATATAATCTACACAGGTAAATGTTTATATAGATGAATTTTTTACACAATTATATTGTCGTTGCATTTTTAGCGCCTATGGAAATTGGTTCCCTGGTTGCAAACCCTTGATCCAGCAAGCGATGGCCAAAATTATGAAAGCAAATCCAGCGCTTTACGTACTGAGAGAACGTATACGTAAAGCCTTGCAACTCTATTCCAGTGAACCGACTGAACCTTATTTGTCAAGTCAGAATTATGGTGAACTGTTCTCGAACCAAATCATTTGGTTCGTTGATGACACTAACGTGTACCGAGTGACTATTCACAAGACTTTCGAAGGAAATTTAACAACCAAGCCCATAAACGGCGCGATTTTTATATTTAATCCTAGAACCGGTCAACTGTTCTTGAAAATCATTCACACGTCCGTATGGGCTGGACAAAAACGTCTGGGACAAGTAAGTTGGAATTAACATAATTTTATCTGGTGTAGGCGGTTTGAGTCACGGCCTTAATCACCGCACAAAGGATCGTACTTGTTTTTTGAATTAGTGGCTTTTCAATTTTGTTGCTTAAAAGGTTTTTTCTCATTTCAGTTGGCAAAATGGAAAACGGCTGAAGAAGTAGCTGCTTTGATCAGATCACTGCCAGTAGAAGAACAACCGAAACAAATCATTGTAACTAGAAAGGGAATGTTGGATCCTTTGGAAGTGCATCTTCTCGATTTCCCCAACATTGTAATTAAGGGCTCGGAATTGCAAATGCCTTTCCAAGCCTGTCTTAAGATCGAGAAGTTCGGAGATCTTATTTTGAAAGCCACTGAACCCCAAATGGTGCTGTTTAATCTGTATGACGATTGGCTGAAAACAATTTCTTCGTACACCGTAAGTTGAAGATTTGAATTTTGAAAAGTTTTGCACTGTTTTATGTTTTTTGTTGTATTATCTAGGCATTTTCGAGGCTGATTTTAATTCTGCGAGCATTGCACGTTAACACTGAAAGGACGAAAGTTATTTTGAAGCCAGATAAAACTACTATTACGGAACCGCATCACATTTGGCCTACGCTGTCCGATGATGAGTGGATTAAGGTGGAAGTTCAGCTTAAAGACCTTATCCTGGCCGATTACGGCAAAAAAAATAAGTGAGTTGATTTGCGCGTAATTTTTACATAAATTGAACACATTTTTTTTATAGTGTTAATGTGGCTTCGCTTACGCAATCGGAAATTCGAGACATCATTCTGGGTATGGAAATCAGCGCTCCGTCTGCCCAACGGCAGCAAATTGCAGAAATCGAGAAGCAAACTAAAGAACAGTCACAACTAACCGCAACCACTACCAGAACAGTGAATAAACATGGAGATGAAATTATTACAAGTACCACCAGTAATTATGAAACTCAGACGTTTAGTTCGAAGACTGAATGGAGAGTTAGGGCTATATCCGCTACTAATTTGCATCTCAGGTGCGATTTTATGAAGACGTTTTACCATTCGGTATTAATAATTTGGTTTTTTTCGTAGAACGAACCATATTTATGTTAGTTCGGATGACATAAAGGAAACTGGGTACACATACATTTTGCCAAAGAATGTGCTTAAGAAGTTCGTGACTATCTCCGATTTACGCGCGCAGGTAAGTGATCTAGCTGGACTTCATAGTTAAAGTACTGGCTATATTAGATAAGAACATTATTCAGTAAATATAGTTACATATGTATATTTATGAAAATCTATCTGTTTTCAGATCTGTGCTTTCTTATATGGCGTCAGTCCCCCAGACAATCCGCAGGTGAAAGAGCTTCGTTGCTTGGTATTGTCACCCCAATGGGGCACGCATCAAACCGTACATTTACCAAACACGCCCCCCAACCATCCCTTCCTCAAGGACATGGAGCCTTTAGGCTGGATTCACACGCAACCAAACGAATTACCTCAGCTTTCACCTCAAGACATAACCACGCACGCCAAATTGATGACCGATAACGCCGCTTGGGATGGAGAGAAAACCATCATAATTACGTGCTCATTCACACCCGGTTAGTGGGTTTCAGTAATTTTTAAATTGCCAGTTCTGAAGTTTCTACTTTTGCTAGGTTCTTGCTCCTTAACGGCCTACAAGCTGACACCTTCCGGTTTCGAATGGGGTCGGCAAAACACTGATAAGGGCAATAATCCCAAAGGCTATCTTCCCAGTCATTATGAAAAGGTGCAAATGTTGCTCTCGGATAGGTTTACAGGGTTCTTCATGGTTCCATCACAAGGACCTTGGAACTACAACTTTATGGGTAAGTTTCTTGACAATTTTGTGATTAACTTTTGTAGCAGTTGATCAGTTTTTTCAAAGTCGATTTAGCTTTCTTGACAATCAAATTCCAATTCTAAATGAAGTTATCAGATTATTTAGATCGCTACACTTTTAAAGGAACAAGTACTTCGTAGGTAACTAACACTTTTACTGTGTTCGTTATAAAACATTTGTTAGCACAGTCATTCTTCTTTAGCAAATTGGAAGACGTTTTCATTGCATCATGTACTTTGCAATACAGATTTTTGTTCTTTGATCATCGTGATTTCGTTTTTGCTTGTTTTAAGTCGTCAAATCCTACTGTATTTGTCGTTTAAATAAAAAAAAAACGCGTGCTGGATGCCCACGCATGGTTTTACATTAGTTTAGGTACATACCAGGGCAGAAGTCGCATTGTATCGGACACATTGCTCAATTAATAAATACAGAAAGATGCCGACTAAACGTAACCAGCAAACATTAGTTCAGTCAGCCTTAAAGTCTATTTCACCCGCTAAATGGATGTAGGTAAAATAATATTGGAAGTTGGTAGGAAAGATGTCAGAATATTGGGACAATAGTTTGCGTGAGATTTCCGGCTGTGGAACATTGTTTAAATAATCAAAGAAAGTGCCAAAACCGTTTTTTTGTGCATCCTCTAAACCGTTGTTGCTATTGGAAAAACTAAATAAAAATCCGTTCATTTATTTACTCAAAAAACGAAAAAATCGCCGATTTTTGGGTTTTATTTCCATTAATTTTATAAACTGTGTTTCGAAAACTAAAAGATCCGGTGATCGAGGTGGCCTTATGGCTTATTATATTATTATAGTACCGTTTCTTCCAATCCAAGCGCCAGAAAATTCTTCATCCAGATAATTCCGCACTTGCGCAAACTTCTGCGGAAAGGCTCCATCATGTTGAAACCATTGCAGATAACGCTGTATTTGTTTGATTCCAAATATGTTCATTATGTCGATTACATTACGACTCTGTAAATGGAGTTTCATCAGGCCATAATATGTTATAAGGGATGTCTTATTGGCATGTGTTTCTGAACCATGTAAAAAAATTCAGACGCAGCTCATCATCCCGTGGATGTAAAGTTTGGGATACTGATAATTTATACGGATAGAATTTGTGTTTTTTTAACTCTCATCACGGTGCTCTGAGAAGTCCCGGAATCCGCTGCAATCTCTGTGGATGAAATCTGTGGATTCTGGATTATCTTCATTTCTTGGCTGTGTAAAACTTCTATAAGTACCCAAATTGTCATATAATATTTTGCATATTTTCAAGGACAGCTGACGACGGTCAAGGTCCCTCTCAAAATAGTAATCAGAGGCTCGTCCAGCCCTTTTATCACATCAAATGTAGGCTTCATTCATGTCGCGCTTTTCTTCATTGGGATGTTTCATTTTTACAATAAATATTTGAAAGATGTGATTATTATTTGTTGCTATGGCTGCTGTCTGCCTTATACTATTTTCCATGGCTAACTTCGATCTACTAAATTGAGAAAGTAAAAATCATTCGCAAGTATTCATTTTCGAAAAAACCTAACGATGTAATATATCAATGGAATCGTAATAAAACGCTCAATTCAATAAATGCATAATCAAATATGGTTGCCATTTAAGAAAACTCAAGTTTGTGTCATGTCAAAAATGACAGTTACCTTGTAGAAATGGCTCATGCCATTTTTTTGGAATGTCATTTTCTACAACTTTTCTATTTAATTTTTCCTGCCAGATTAATATTGACTGAACTAGGAGTCATTTAAAAATCTGCCATAAATCAGTTTTTTCACGTATCTGCTGACGCTGTCAAATTTTAGAATAATAAAATTGATTTCGAGTGGAGCATTCAAAACTACAATTCTTTGTCCATTTAACCTTCGTTGTACTACGTACGACTAGGTACTAGTCATCCAAAAATCCTGTAGATACAGGGTGATGAGAGTAAAAACTACCCTGTACATTATGTATCTACATAATTTATCAAGTTGTATTTGATTTAGTACACATCATTTTTAAACGCGATGGAATAAAGTATTTTTGGTGATCCCCTGGTGGGAAGTACGTACTTTCGTCACTATTTTCGATGGCGAAAGCATCACTTTTACCCATTACAAACTTTCTTCATCCCGTGTGGAAAGTAATAATTTTCGCCACGCACATTGACAGCTTGACTTTGTCACTGACTGTCAGATGAAAAATAGTATACATAAGTAAAGTCGAAGGAGCGCCACTGCGTGCATGCGTCAATGTCAAGCATTGGCGGACTATGTTGGTGTACGCGAGACGAATATACTATTATAAATAGTATAATAAATAAAATATACAATTTTTAAATGAAAAGCAGGTTCAATTCTTTTGATAGACATTGTATGATCAAATATTGCCATTACAGTTACAATACAGTTATTTTGCCCTTTTAGGTGTTAGACACGATCCAGGTATGAAATACGAGCTTCAGCTATCAAATCCAAGGGAGTTCTATCATGAGGTACATCGACCTGCACATTTCTTGAATTTCTCATCACTAGAGGATGCAGATGGTGCCGGTGCTGACGGAGAAAATTCTTTCGCTTAATTGATATGATTGACCGCTTGCGGAGGAAAGGTTTGTGAAAGCAAATTAATTCTTTTTTTCGTTTTAAACCTTTGTTGGGGACATATCCGTAGTTTGATTATTTTTTCATACTTACGCATGTGAATATTACTTTTATGAACAGATTCACCTGTAGTTATGCCGCTAAAACAGTTTAATGGCATTTGAATGTATTTTAAGGGTAGCATAAGTTGTATTTTATTTTTTAGTTCTTGTGCTAATTCGTATAATAAAAATTTGGATATTTCAGAGTTATTTTTGTATTCAATCATTATCCTAAATAAACTACGACCTGAGCGAAATCTGTAAATACAGTTTTTAACTCAGTTTATTTTCCCATTTCCACATAATTTCTATCGCGCACTGAAACAGTTCAAAATTCTCCTGTAATTAATACTTAATTTGTCTAACTTTAACTAATTTGTCACATTTAATTGTGTTCGTTCATTAAATCGTTCTCTAATTTTATTTGATGATCTAAATGTTACAAAATATGACGTTATTTGAGAGGTTTGCGATGGTCCGGATAACATCAGAACGATAAGTAAATGATTTACGTATAGCTAGAATTACTTGTTTTAATGACCAAGTACAAGTCCTCAATGTGACCCTCAATGTTGTAATCTACTGACGTGTAAATTTGTTTTTTCTAATTCACAAGTATTCTTACTTTATCAAAAAGTTTGACAAATCTCAATAATATCAAAATCTTTGACCTGCTAAAATGTATGCTAGAATTTTCGATGGTTGAAAATACATTCAATTGATTTCAATTTTCATTCAATACATTCAATTTATTAAGGAAATACAGCGCGTTTTAGAAGAACTGTCTTTAGAATTCAATAAAAAATGCAAAATGGGGCGGACTAAACGAAATTGTATGTGCTTATCGGTTAGGAAATGTTTACTTCCTTAAGTTATGTTAGCACATGTACAATAAGTTCATGATATTGGTCAGGTTTCTCAATAAAAACTATACAAACGGCTGAATTTATTTAATGCATACTAAATAAATACTTTAACAGTTTTTTTTAATTATTAACCAATCAAATTTGGCATTATTAAGTAGATGGGATGCCATTAACAAATATCAAGTGATCGATAAATATACTTAATGTGCTAATATAAACACTACTTTGGGTATTGTTCTTTATTTTACAATATAAGGTATTCTGATAAAGTCATCGAAGTTTAGATTATATTTTTGTAACATCATCTCTGCTTTACTTTCACCTCATTTTACATACACATTTTTTCTGATTCATGTTAAAATTTTGTGGTTAAATGAAAAACCTTAAATATACGCGAAAGAAGTAATATAAGTTCATTTTTATACAACACAGGCTTGACTAGTTTAATGAATATATAGATGATTTAAACTAATGTTTTTTATATAGTTTAAAAGGGGGTTAATTGAACAGAAAACTTTACCTGTTTAATAAACTTAATAAAAATAATTTTTTTAGCGCCTTAAGCGAACAGACAATTTTTGGAATCAGGAAAATTTACTGCTTTCGGCAGGATTTTCCCTTCTTCCAAAAATTGTCTGTCTGCTTAAGCGCTAAAAATCCCTTTCATTTAAGTTATTACGGATACTAACATTCTTCATTAAAAACCTTGTCAAAAGAGTTAAGCTTTCGCGGTCACGAGTTGTCGTGGTCGTTGTGGACAAGAATTTTCTTACAAGACAAGTATAAATGTGTTACAGTAAAGTAATAAAGTAAGCACAAAATTACTCCCAAATATGATTAGAAACTTAGCGTGATTGAAAATTACTCCCAAATATGAATAGAAAATTCCGAGTTTCAAATTTTTTTGTCATTTCCGAATGGGTGAAACAACATTAGTCCTTACAGTAGAATTAGTTTCACCTAAATCGTTATCTTCCTCACTATCACTTAAAGCTGTGGATGAGATTCCGGAGTCTATAATTTGCTAATCGGTCAACATTTCTCTTGTAAAAATGTAATTATCAATGCTTACATACTCGATTAAATCGAAACCACTCAATTTACTTGTTCTTCAACAATATTGTGCACATCTTCATCTGAGTCGGACTCGTAGTCAAAGTACTAAATGCTTTTCCAATCATTGGTTATGTGGAATTTCATCGTTTGGTTGATATTAATTTAATTTTCTTATAAATCCATCATGCTCAAAGGAATTTGCAATTGTTTTTCGGCTAACGTTTTGCAAAGGTCTATAAATGAAATTTACTACATCTAAGATATTTGTAGCAAATGTTTCATTTTTATCGGTTGCCTCTAGCGTTTTCATAAGAATATTTTTTCTGTAATTACATTTTAGCGACTGTATTGCTTCGTGATCCATAAGTTGGAGCTTCGCACTTGTGTTCGGCGGCATAAAAACCAACTTGATTTGTTCTGATTCTGATTGAACGTCAGGGTGTTATAAACGGAAAGCGAATATACTAACCAACCCAAAAAGCGATCGTTATATCCGGAAGTTCGTTATAACCAGTAAAAAAAATACGTTGGTCTGTATGGACGACGTTTCATTTAAAAGAAAATAGTTCATTTTAAGCGAAAGTTAACTATAACCGGGGTTAATAAGACTACTGTATTCCCATTTTTTAGCCAAAAAGTTTACAATTACAAACTGTCAAAGGTCGATTTTAGCTTTTCCATCCTTTGAGAGTAAAATTATTTTAAAAGGCAATTAAATTGTTCAACTCTGATGCTCAGTCTTTAATTGGTTTAATAAATTAAACTTGAAACGTTGAAATAAAACAGTCACATACTGATTCAGGCCCGGTTCATAAAGAAAATGGGAAAAACCTAGGTATTAATGTGGAATTTACATTATAAAACTAGTGCAATAACCGTACATCGAGTTCAATATCTAAATTCCAATGTTTTCAGTTCAGAATTTCAAATAAAGTATTCATACCCGAAAACCCGTAATTTAAGAGTACAATAAAGACGCTTTCAAAGTGTGCTATAGGAAAAAAAATTAAATAAACACATGATGTCAATGATATTTAACTTAAACTTGAAATACTTGAATGATTTTAAAAACATAACACTCGAGTATGAATGGAGTTAGATAAGTAGTATAATAATTAGATAATTTTTAAAAAACTTCAGTTGGATCACAAGTTATTTTTAGATTTGTTTTGGTTTCTTTAGGTCAGATTATCTATTATGCACTTGGCTACCTTTAGACCAAATGCTTTTAAAACCAATTGTTTTATTTCCATTATTAAATTTGTCTTGCTCTTGTTCTCACTCGATAAGTCTAAAAATGTCTGCTTATTATTTGATTTCACTTTAAATAAATAGTTTTGACTAATTAAGTGAGACTTTTGCATCTGTTAAATATTTTTAATTTAACTTACATATGAATTATAAAATAAATTGGTTCAATTAAGTTAAACTGCAACTTAACCTTCTCATCACATAAAAAAAAGGAAACATATACGCGTTTTCAAGTGGAAAATTATTTAAATAACGTAATGTTTATGGGCTTACTTATACGATTAAATGGATTTATGAATTGTGTCAGAAAAGAATGTTTAATCTATTTACTTATCTTTTTTTATATACGATTATTGGCTGAATTTGAATATGTAGGGACGTATCAAATGTACTGAAAATAATCAGTAGACAAATTGAAATACGTTTTTGATAAGTAAAAAGCAGTTTTCTAATCCGAACATTTAGATATTTAACAATTAACAGAGCAGAAATCTACAGTTTTCTTTTTAAACTTCCTCCATCCTTTTGGGGATGCTTTTTTATGCTTTAAGTACATTATCATGTCTAGTAAACCGCATTAAATAAACTACCAAAAAAATGAATTAGAGTGTTATTTTGCTAGCAATACTCCGCATAAGGCGATATGCTTTAATTTTAGAAGCGATTAGTTCTAAGACCTCAAAACTAAAAGTGCTCTGTTTACGCACTTGTTGCACATGAAACTTGTGATGGTACTTAGAAATTCACAATCATTTTAACAAACGATTAACAACGTTGAGTGTTTTTAAGCTTTAAATAAATTTGGTTTTATTAGTTTAGCATTCAAGATGCGCGTTTTAGTAGTAACTTGTAATATAATATATATAATATTAATATATACTATATATAATATATACCTTAATGCTGACAGGTCGCAACGAAATGTAACAAATTGGGRGCACAAAAAACTGCTAATAAATGGAAACGATGGACTATTTCCTAAAGTAAGAGAGGTAGAACAAAATGATTAATACACAAATTGAAAGGTTCTTTCCAGTCTATTAACATAAAGAAAAATTTAGTATACAGTTTAGTATAAGTTTCTTTTTCTTAAATGGAACACCCACCCTGTATGTTAGGCAGTAATAAGTCCTTTCGACATTTGAAACAAACATTGTTTAACACATTAGATGCTCAAATATAACCTATTTGAAGATATCGAGTTGTTGAAATTGTTTTTACTATAATTCGCTAAATTCTTAGAATTAATATTTTACATTTTGAACAAATAAGAACGGTGAAAGAAGAAGAGGCATAACTTATAAACAACATAATTTTATTCATTCCCAGGATTAAAGTGACATTTTATTTTCAAGTGTTTAGCTCTTCACAGTAATAAAGTTGCTGCACAAATTTTTTAAATTAATTTAGAAGTATATTCAAAGGAATACCAGCAATTTCGTGACTTATTTACTCTATCCTACAACTCTTCAATATTTTGTGGCCTATTTTTGTAAACTGCGTTTTTAATATGACCACACAGAAAAAAGTCAAGTAGGGTCAAATCGGGAGACGGAACTGGTCCTTCAATTGTCCTCTGCGATCAATCCGATTCTCACGAAATGTTTCATGAAGATATGATCGTACTTCGGGGCCAAAATTCCATATTCTGTCATCATTAATATTTAAATACCACTTAAATGTGCCATTTTAAAGACATTTAAGAACAGAAAAATTAAACATGAGATGTGTTATACGCTTTTTCTTTAGAACGTGGAGAAGAATTCAATTAGGGACTTCATTTAAAACACCTCCAGAGGACCCAGCAAACACAAATGGTCCGTGGGACGTTCTATTTTGATCCCCGTTATCCCGCATGAGATGATCCTTGGTAGGATGTCTCTAGGACGTCCCTTGTATCGCACATATATCTCATGCAGATCCCATGCAAGTCGTCCCAGAAACGTTATATTTTTTGCTCCGAGGGCCATCATGAACAGGACGTATATGTAGTAAAAGTAATACGTAAAAATAATTTTAAACTTGGTCAGTTTC